ACATCTCCTGGAACGGAAGATGCCTATTTGTCCTCTGCAGAGCTCAAAAAATGATTCAGAAATATTACACCCCAATGGAATTTCCCTTCCTGGACAGTGAAAGAAAAACAAAACAACAGCAAAAACCAAACTATTCCTTTACGACCAGATAGAAGAGTATGACCACGTAACTATGGCAAAACCAAGCATTTGAGGCCTGGGGAAGAGGAATTGCAAGGCTTATTGAAATAAAGAAAGGCCTGCAGCAACTACTTTGCCAGACTGGTTAGACTAGACAAGGCCTCATGTAATTTACATCAGTTCTTTGGTCTGAGACTGCCTTCATTCTCCCTAAAACCCTGTATCACCTGAGAAGGCATCATGTTCCCCCTGACTCATGGAGAGTTATGTTTTATGTTGTAATTTGCTAGAACAGCGATTATGCACAAGTGGGAGAATTTCACAAGCAAAATGTCTTGTCAGTGAAAATAGCAGCTTTACTCCTACATTCACTTAGCAGCAGGAGGCACAAAGTATCCTGGGGTTTTTGAATTATTGTTGAAATGAACTCCAGATGCCTGCAGAAAGACTGCTAAATACATACCTAATTGCCAGTTTCTTTTGTCTTAGCCACACTGCTAAACAGCCTTCAAAAACAGCATTTGACACATTCTGAATTCTTTATTAGCACCTTTATGCAAAATTAAATGGCACTTGTGCAAAGCCAGAGCACAACAGCATGCCAGTGCTTATAAGCAATGTTTCTGGAAGCCTGTCTTGGGTATTTGTCTTCCTATGTGTGGGAAGTTTTCTTATAAATTACAGTCTTCCTTTTACATTACATGCACACCAATTTTATATCTCTCAGTTTTTATGACAGAAAAATTTGAATTTTAAGGAATATTAATCAGGCACCAAATTTTCCTATTTTGAATATTCAGCAAAGGAGAGCAAAACTATGCTTCCTGGCCTGCTGCCACTCCAATGACTCATCTTTGCTGACATGCAAGCTAATGGGGGTGAAAATTTAGAATTGCTGTTTCATAGAGAAAAAGGAATTGGAGAGACAAGCTTATATGTCCCATACTTCATCCCTGCTAACCCAGACTCCCAGAGGCAATGCCCACAGTACTGAGAACTATGAAACTGCCTCTGGACTATCTGTGTTTATAGGTGTATGTAAAGGTAACAATTAGAAGTACATATATCAAGGCTTTGGTCTGGAAGTAAGTCTTAAAAATCAAAGATCACATACACAAAGCAGAACCATTTACATATTCAAATAAATAAATGCATCCTTTTGTTGATTAAGGGAGAGGAGAGGCAGAGGGATCGCCAGTGTAACCACTCCATCTGTGACACAGGAGCACACAGCACACAGTCAGCTGCTGCATTACTGTAATACACAATCCCTCTGCCTTCACTGCCTTCAAACGTCTATGCTAATTTTTTCCATCCCAGCAGCAAACCTCACCCGTGGCTGTGGCTTGCTGCCCTCATTAACCCAATATTCAGTACCAAGGAAGCCAACATCAATACAGAAGATACTGTGCAGCACTCTTTCCTTTCCCTTTTCCCCAGATCTACTTGCTTGGATTTTTACCCTGCTTTCAGTACACTGAGCCAGTGTTACTCTGTAGAGCAGGATTCACACATGACTCAATCTAAAAGTGACATGGAAGTGCTGCTGTCACCTAATGTATACAGGTACAGGTGGGCACATCCAGAACACCAGCACAAAGCCACAGTTGTAAAGCAGGGCTCACGATTTGGCACTTGCTAGATAACTTCTCACTGTGACATTAAGCACTTTCTGGGACTTTGCCAGTCAGATGGCATGAGATGTGTATTAGGGACACTTGCACAGGTCCATGATGTCTGATTCCCATTAGCCATGTCAGTCTTTAATTCATAAATTGCCTAGTCCTAGGCAAGGACTTCCTGCACAGTGTCACACTTGGCTGCAACAATTCATAGAAATGGCTTGAGACAGCATTAACCTCCAATTTCTGAGTTTCAGTTCCATTTATAAACACAGTGTTATTTTAAACATTTCAGGTGGAAAGTGTGGACTTTCCAAAACTTGAATACCATAGTAAAGATGTAAAGGACGGAAATATCTGGACCTTGCTGATTTTTGGGTGTCTGAAGAGAAAAAGCACACTGGGCAGCTGCTTCTCTTTTGTTATTTGAAATAATACAGAATAAGATTTAAATGCTGGAGTCACAGCTAAACACATAAGGCAAGTCACAGAATCACAGAATGGCTGAGGTTGGAAAGGATCTTTGGATGTCATCCTGTCCACTCCCCCTGCTCAACCTGGGTCATCTGTAATAGGCAGCCCAGGACCAAGGCTTTTGAGTATCCAAGAATGGAGACTCAACAACCTTTCTGGACAGCCTGTGCCTGCGCTCAGTCACCCACACAGTGAAAAAATGTTTCCCAATATTCACACAGAACCTCCCGTGTTTCAGTTCATGCTCACTGCCTCTGATCCTGGCCCTGAGCACCACTGAAACTAGCCTGTCTCAGCCTTCTTTGCACTCTCCCTTCATGTATCTATTACATACACAGATAATATCTATCCTAAGCTTTCTCTTCTCTCACAGTCCTACCTGTCTCAGTCTTTCCTCAAGTGAGAGGTGTTCCAGTTCCTTAATCAATCTTAGTGACCCCTTTGCTGGACTCCCTACAGTAGCTTTGTAACCCTCTGGTTCTGGGGAGCCCAGAACTGGACATGATACTCCAGGTGTGGCCTTGCCAGGGCTGAGTAGAGGGGAAGGTTCACCTTCCTCAGCCAGCTGGCAACACCTCTCCTATTGCAGCTCAGGATACCATTAGCTTTGTTTGGCACAAGGACACATCGGTTGCTCATGTTCAAGCTGGTGTCCACTGGTATCCCCAGTTCCTTTTGTGCAAAGCTGCTTTCCAGCTGGTAAGACCCCAGCATATACTGGTGCAGGACTTTACACTTCCCTTTACTGAACGCCATGAAGTTTGTGTCAGCCCATTTCTCCAGCCTGTTGAGGTTCCTCCTCAGGATGACAGCACAACCTTCTGGTGTATCAGCTGCTCCTCACAGGCTGTAACATGAGCAAACTTGCTGAGGGTGCACTCTGCTACATCATCCGCTTCATTAATGAAGATGTTGAATGGGACTGGACTCAGTATTGACCCCTGGGGTACACTGCTAGTTACTGGCCCCCACCTAGACTTCATACCGCTGCTCACCACCCTCTGGGTCTGGCTGCTCAGCCAATTTTCAATCCACCTCACTGTTGCTCATCTAGCCCACATGTTACCAGTTTCTCTCTCAGGATTCTCCAGGAGGCAGTGTCAAAAGCCTTACTGAAGTCAATGTAGATTATATACACTACTCTCTCCTCATTCACCAAGCCAGTAGTTTCATCATAGAAAGTTGGGCAAGTATGACTTCCCCTTTGCCTATCCCTTTGTGAACCCATCCAGTCATCATCTGACTGCCCTTCCCTGAAGCAGAGTCATGTATTCCAGTCCCCAGTGGCAGAACTGTGCTGGTAGAATTGGGTTGTCCCTCCATTTCTCAATAAAAAACAGGATGCAACAGGCAGATGAAATCCTATGAGCAGGAGTGCCACCATTTTTCCTACGCGAGATGATCTAAGTATAAAAATACTTTACTTCCTTTACAAAAATTCAGTGAATGGTGAAGTTAGCTTTAAGGAAAGACTGAGGAAAGGGATGCAAAGATGTTTAAAAACTAAATAATGGCTCACAGGAAAAAATAACAAGCCTTTTTAAACATGCAGTTTGTTTGTCTATCCATTTTGTCCTTTTGTCATGGTCCTTCACCAACTTACAGTGCAGAAGGGACCAGGCATTTCCACGTTATCTTTGGAGTCATTAAATGCTAAATGAGACTTCTACATTGTATTGTTAAGCAGAGATGATGACACAGCTCCATAAGGGCACCTTGGTCTCATCCTGTTTGCATTAACAAAACCTCAGAGATATCACTATAGAGGATTTGAAAGGAAACTGTGCAGAGAGGTTGATACTGGCATCTGTAAATCCTGTGTGCTTAAATAAGGAGCTTGGTGGTAATCTCTCTAAATAAAACTCTGCAAAGGGTAGCATTGGCATTCTTGGTGCGTCCCTAAACCAAAACTGTCACTGCCTTCTGATGCTCTCACAGGGATACAGATATTTGGGTTAGTTCTGTTCATATGAAACAAAGGATGCATCCAGAACACAAAAGAGCAAGGCCAGTGCCTTCTCCCAGCTGTCCTCATATACAGGGCACAGGTTACAGAGAAATTTGAATGGGTTTCTACAGTGAAGTACACCAGTATATTTCCTAGCTCGCCAACTGCCTTCTGGATGTTGAAGAGCCTAGATAAACGATCAAACACCTATGTCCTGTTTGTGTCGCAGAAGAGAGAGTATGTGCACATGCGAGCAGCTGCCTTTGTCTGGTAAGAGATGAGAAGACAGTAACACCTAACTATCTTATAGATGTATTACAGAGCTTCTCCAGGACCCCTAATTTAAAGGGGGCATTGAAAAGGAGTAGCTTGCAGCAATACAATCTGCATGGCAATAAAATCCTTATACCGATTTCAGTGGGCCAGACTCTTTTTATCTCACTATGCTTTCTTTAAGCTGAACACATTTATAAAGTGTGCGCTGAAAGCTAATGAGAAGAACCTACCTTCAAGCTTAGCCTCTGATCAGTGCTGTCAGTGACTAATACTTTATTTCTCTTCTAACTTCTTGCCAACACAGGCAATCAACTGCTAACCTGAAGCTATGTGATCTCCAACCCACTTCTACTTTAAAAGCAGCAGAAACCCATATGTTTCTTGCCTAGGACAGTAAACACAATGGCACTACAGCACATAGGCTATTTCAGCACCTGGTTACACCTGAAACTCAGTGCTCTGGGACACAGTAATTTCAATGAATCATGTTCAATTACAACACAGGTATCTTCAAGCTTGTTTGATGCTTAGCATTTAAGGAAAACTTTATGCTTACTCACCATAAGGGATATATACCAAGCCTACTGACAATGAAGACAATGGCAAATGTAAGGAACAGAAGGTCACTCAGTTTTTGACACTTGCAATAGTTTGCCATTTTGGCAGCCTGCAAAAGAAAGAAATGTTTGTTTACTTCCATGAGGACAACCATGTTCTCCTGTATTGTGCATAAGCTGTAAGAAAAAGATATAAATTTTTAATGAAATCACTAACATTTTCATTGAGCCACCTCACAGATGACCTTGTAACTCTTCTCCACCAAGCTTCTGGAAAATGCCTTCTTGGAAAGAAAAAAACAGGCTGCATAAAACCAGAATACATCTCTCATTTCTTCCTTCCCCTTTAATTTCCTTTTTGAAATCCTACAATTTCAGATTCACAAAACTCTTCTAACCTTTTCTTGAACCCCACTGTGTTTATGCCATCCTTGCCCCCAACCTCTTTACCTACCCGTGTCTCACCTTTCCAGTATGCTCCACTTGCATTTTCAGCATTCGTTCATCTTCCACCTGCCCTATGCTCTCTGTCATTCTTGTCTTTGCCATATATAAACTTTGTCTCAAATCTCCTACATTCTCCTACAGCATCTCTTTTTCCTTTCCGGCCTACACAGAACAGAGTCCACCTCAAAGGTTTTTCCAAGTCTCTCTTCCCCTCTCTTTCTAACTTTTGCTTTCCAACTTGCTCCCCATGCCTATTTTTACATGCCTCTCTCATTTGCCTTCATGCAGTCTTCTGACTCCTCCTCAGCGAAGGAGTCACTAATTACTCTTCACTCAAACTGCTCATTAAAACCCCGGTCTTCCATGAAGTTTCTTTGCTCTCTTCTCCCTGAAGAAAACAGTATGTACAAGCAAAGCTGTTGTAAGACATCTGTGCTGCTTCCACAGCATTCATGTACGTAAGCAGTTACTTATTTTAAAACATCTGCTTCCAGGCAGGGACAGTCTTTCTGCTTTCTGTCAGATGTATCTAAAGAATCACTGCACATGAAGTGAAGTACATGAAAAACCCGATTTAGTGTCCACTTAAGTAATTGGGAACTCTTTCAAAGCCCCCCTCCTAGGGGACCTGTATCCATACTGAGAAGATGCTTACTTCTGCAAAATTTCCAGAGGGCTAGGAGGGAGAAAGATTACCACAACTATGCAGACAAAACACTATTCTGAATGCAGAATTCAAACCAGAAGATTGCCTAAAATGGTGACAGGCACTATTGCGCTCTGATTTTTTTTTTTTTGGTATGAACACACTGAATCTGAAAGGGCTCAATGCTCATGTTAGCCAACCTGGATGACAAAACTAGCCTGCACTGCTGGATGTTACCCAATTTCTGCAATATTTCCACTGAAAACCTGAATATAAAGGATATTCCTCACTAGCAGAAAACAGGTTAAGAAGGGGGAAGCTCACAAAACATGAGGAAAGCCACCACTAGTGCGAAGAAAACATAACCGTTCAAAATCAGCCCTATATCCCTGTAAACACAAATGAGTTTAAGGGAAAAATAACACTTTGGTGCCAACATGCAAAGCAGAAGAGTCACTAAAACTTTGATTTTCATGTGACTGAAAGTTCACATCTGAATTCTGGATGTATTTCCCTGGCAGCAGTCACAGTAATGTCAGCAGTGTATAGGAGTACATCTTTCCCCATATGGCACCAGGGCTACGACCTGCTGCCCTAGCAGAAGAAAGCCCATTGAGTCATAATGGCCCTCCTAGTAAATGTTTGTCAGGGCTTGTGATTCTCTATTTTACACTTTAGAGTAGCGTTAGTATTTCCAGTCAGAACAGACTGAACAAATAAAGACAACTGAAGTATGTGCCTCATGGAGAAGCATATTTGCTGAATTTTTGTAAATCATGTGAGAATACCAGCAATTTCTCCTTGTCTTAGCCAGTGACTGAACAGAGGAATTGAGCAAAAATACGTGTCTCGCTGTGTTCAAGGTCAGGTTTTAGCTAGCCTATTACACCTGCTCTCCAGTGCTTTTACAGTTCCACAGATAATGGTCTGATCTGGAATGAACTCTTTTGAGTATGTCATTCTGCTGGTAAGAAAAGAATCATGAAAGTTTGGGTAAACCCACAGCTAGCACAACGGATCTACACACATTGCTAGAACAGAAAAATAAACCTGTAAAGATGTAATTATTTCCTAGAGGAGAATCCAGATTCTCTGTTGCTTTCTGAGGCAGTCATGTGACTTCTAGATTAAAAAAAGATTAAAAAATAAAACCAGATTTACAGCCCTATCAAATCAGAATGTCAGGATTTTGATTCTGCAATACGTGACTCACACAGTGAGGCTATATTCTTGCATAACAGCATCTTTGCAACTACTTTAATAAAAGGTCATTTTAGACGAAGTTATTAACTTTGCTTTGATCACAGACAGCCCAATCTCATCATTATCCAGAGCTGTCTAAAACTGATGCAGGTACAGGATGACACCACATCTAAATTGATGCTATGGAAGTTACAGACCATCTTGACTTAAAATAATTCCAATCATCCCTTCTTCTCCAAAGCCAGATGCTTAATACTGCTATCTGGATGCAGAGGCATGGGGACCTGGAAAATCCTGGGGACCAGAGGTCAGCTCACTGCCCATATACAAACAGCCATCAAATTGTCCAGCACCTTTTGCCCAGCAAAGCACAGCAGAAACAAACTGTAACAACCTGATTCTCTTGGAGATGGTGTTATTGCCCCAGACACCATGTCACAGGGGTCAAGAACCAGAAGCTTCTATCCCACAGTCACCACCTTCCAGATTTTGCAACTTTTGACTTTACCATGTTATATTTCATATCTGTGTAACACTCCCTGGAAATACACTATATAAATCACCATTACCATCTTGATCTGGACTTTTCTTAGGAAATACTCATTTTGCATTACAAATAGATTCTACCTAATAACACGCTAGCTTGCTGAATGGTGAATGCCATGTACAGACGCTGATAACATAATTTTCTCACCTCTAGGACAACATCAGCTGCATCGTGGAGACATAAGGTCAAAGTTCCCACTCGTGTCAAATTGGTTACGTATGAGAAGGTTATCAGGGTGACTGTTACAATGTGATGTGTAAACATGATGCCAAAGTCCTGGGGGGGGGGGGAGGGGAAAAAAAAACGCCAATGAAGCAAACAGCAAGATTCAGTACTCTCACAGAAAAATGTATGGATGCTTTTTAAACCCAGCATTATGGTTATGTTACATAAAGATCTTGTTACATAAGTGCATTAAATACCCAACTACACATTTCATTCACAGTGAATAAAATAATCATTGTATGTTAATAAAATGCAAAGACATTACTGAAACTTAGGCAATATTTACACTTCTCAGTTCACAGTAATTTAACCTAATAAAGTAAACATTTGTGGCTGAAATTACTTTGCAAATGCAAATATATATATATACAGATAAATTACACCATATTTTTTATACATCAAGCAACATACAATATGAAAAATAATGTGGCATTCACAAGAGTTCTAGCAGCAATAAAGAAATGGGAAACACATTTCCACATTACTAGGAGTTATCAGCAGTCACTTGCCAAGCACAACTGAGAGCTTTCACAGAGCCAAAAATGCCAGCACCAGTTTTTTGTTTTTAACGAAGCTGCTTTGTCTTCACACTGTAACAGGGTCAGAAAAGTCTTCAAATAAGCTGGCGTACTTCCTCCTATTCAGATCTAACCTGCTGCTGCCTCCCAAATGATACAGGTTAGCTGGTCTTTAGATCAGTAACTCTGAGCTATTTGGCCTATTGAAAAATATAGGGAGCAACAATATCTTGTAATATCTTGGAATATCACATTCCCAGATGCATGTCAAGAGGCAGGCAAAACAGAAGGAACAGAATGCCTCCCTGGCCTAGATTACCAGACTGGTTTCTGAGAGAACACAACCCACAGAGATGAGACTCTCCTCTGCAAGGCACCAACTCAGTCAAAAAGCAGTCTTGCTGGAGTTTGCTGAATTACCTGCACAGCTTTGAGGAAGTGCTATTAAAACTCTGAAGATCACAGTCATCATTTGACTCGGGATTTTCTCCATACACAGGGTGCAAAGTTACTACCACAGCTCTCAGCAGAGCTAGTAGCTCTTGTGTAGAGCTGTCCGAAAGGAGAGAGATCCACGCATCCTGCTCCACAAGCATTCTGGAAGGTGGAATTTGGCTTCTTGGTAGCTTTCTTGGGCCAGTCTTGCTGAGCTAAGTGGCCCTCAGAGAAACCAAAACTGAGACTCTGCAGTCTTTAGAGGGGCAGCACCTGGTTTACAGAGGGACTGAAGGTACATGTGTCAGGCAGAAGGGCCTTATGGAAAGTGCTGATGAGCTTCCATTAACACAGAGTCACCTGCAGCTGCTGCCTGCTCTGTCTCTCCACTACTGGGAGGAGTAACTGCCCAGGGTCACCATACCTCTTTTCGGGAATGCAGCAGGCACACAGCAGGCACATAGCAGGTCACATTCATCCCATTTGGTGATGTGCAGTGCCATTGCCTCTCAGTATCAGTGCTTGGCTTCACTGTAATGTACACCTGGAGTCTGTGGAAAAACCTGCATCTTGAGCAGTCTCACTAAACAAACAGGGACAGGACCTGCTTTCAGCCTTTCAATTTATGTTTAATGCTATCAGGTGCTATAACACAAAGCTGAGGGGGAGGAAAAAAGAAAGCTGAATAAAAAAATGAAAAAGACTAAAAGCAGTGAACCATATCCTATTTTGGTATATGCTCAACGTTTCTCAGCCAGGTTATTTGATCCCCAGCAGTGCGGAGCACAATCAAATACATTCATCAGTCATATCAAGCCACTGCTTTAAATCCATTTTGTGAAAGCAGACTGAATAAAAACAGAATTAAAGGCTGCTTCCCCTTCTAAGAGTCTTAAGGGAAGCAAGGGTGTGGCATCTTAGTCATTTCAGTATCTACAAACCCACACATGGGGACCATTTCACTATACCATAAATCAAAACAGGAAAGCACCTACCTTAATCTGTGGGATCATAAATAAGCTGCTAGCATTGCCATATGGCAATACCGCAGACTAGCTCTTTACCTGCTCCAGCTGCAAATGCTATGACACTGTTCTTCATTTTCCTTCTAATTATGTTAGCACATAGGCAGTCCAAATGGGGGAAGAAGTCAAGTAGAAAATCTCCTCTGTTTTTATAGCTGACACATTCATGTTCTACAAATACGAGATTTCTAGTCCCTCTTGGGAACTCTTCAAGGCACTCTGACAGTATGGATTTTTCCTAAGCAGTCCTAATGCTCTTGGGCAGCAAGTCTTCTGCACTTCTGCATGAAGTCTACTTACAGAAATGCTGCCCAGGGAACTCATTCTCTAATAACGTTTCTTGAAAGACACAGTTATCTGACTCTGCCGGCTCTGAAAGAGAGATGCTGCAATGACCTACTGAAAACTGCTAGTTAAAAGTAGCAGTGATATAAATAAAACTACTTTTGTAATTCTGGTCCTTTATTTCCTGTTTCCTCTTTAAATCAGTAACTAATATTATGCTTTGAAGATGTGACCTGTTAGATTTTAATTACACGTAAGGGTAATGAATACATGGAAACTAATGGTACAAGTCCCCATAATGTCAAGTGGTACTTGTATTCCCAGATTATTCAAGCACTTTCACCCATACATGGCAGAACAGCAGCTGTACAGGAATGGGCTTTTTCTTTTTTAAAATTTATTTTAAACTGTATGTTTGCGCAAGTTACATTTATTCACAGAAGATTTATAGCCTCCAGTTGTAACTGCTGAAGGATGCATGTGCCTATGTCATGGAAATACATGGCTAAGAATAGGAGAAAGAACCTACTCCTGACACCACCAGTGGGAAGAACACAGATCAGACAATAGAGAAGCCCTGTGGGTCTCAACTTGCAGACAAACCTTCTGGGATCAAGGCTTATGCTGCCCACATTTACTTAACATGTCACATTCACTGACCAACTGCCAAGTGGCTATGGAGCATTAGTGCCACTGAAGAGCAAAACATCTCCATTAGTTACCCCAGCTTCTGGAAATGGGCTATGTTAGAGATCAGCAAAGAAAGGAAATATTATCAGCTAAAGGTTTCAACCATTACAATTCTAGTGAAGGTCTGCAAAATGTACACAATCTAAATTCCTTTCCTCTGAAACAAAAGAAATCAGCTCTACGAAACTCTTTCTCTACCAAGTTTGAAGAAAAAGATCTAGGATCCAAATTCAGTGGAATATAGCATACATTTTCTACAATCAAAATGGACTATTCAAGAAAATTAGCAGGTACAGATTATTTCATTTTAGAAATTAATGAACTGTCATTAAAAAAAAAGGTAAAACACAGAAGTTATAGGAATTGCCAAATGTTTGGAACTAAAAGGTGTGAATTGACAGAAAGGTCTCCCAGATCTTCTACAAACCTGTTAAAACATTGTATAGACATTTTATACAGACCCATAAATATACCCATGAAATATTTTTCTATCAAACAATACTTCAAGTATCCAGAAAGCATGTAAATAAGCCTCACAGCTTCTGAAAGTCATCAGGGTCTTGTGAGGGTAACAAAGTTCTCTGATCTAATTTTTTATTCGATATTTTGCAGGAATATGGGAAGCTGGACAGAGATGATAAAAAAACAAATCATATTAGGTTGCAGTCTTTGAAAATGAAAACCCTTATGCGTAGAGCATCATTACAGCAACATTGTATTTATGAAGCAAACAACACGCCATTATAAAACCATAAAAGTTAATCTACTCAGTTCACTGCCTTAATGCCAATAGTAGGTACGTGCAACAGCCTAAACTGTTCGCTCACAACTCTTCAGCCAGGCAGAGATAATCTGGTAGAATTTATAATACCTAAATAAAGATAAACAGGTATTTGAAAGCAAAACAACTGGAAGTAACTTTAAAGTCATGAATTTGCTATTAGAGAGGAATAAAAGATGGAAAACAGCAAGTACATTTCTTTTGAGCTACAGTGAGTAAAAGTCCAGGGCTGAATGCTGGTGCTTTCAGAGAGGACCTACAGCACCTCACCCTGAGAGAAACCTGGCTACATAAAAGTGGTTGGCTGAATTCCTGCAGTGCATGAGGCTGCCAGGGCACTTTTCATCATCCTAGACTACAACACAGCTACTGCTGAATTTAAAGTACCTAAAATGATAATCAAGATTTACATAAAAGTATTCCTCTCACTATAACGTTAAAACATCAACAGGTTTCTCAGGCTGAGAACTGTTAATCTGCTTTGTATAAGCTGTCATGAAGTATTACAATAGTACCTGATATCAGCTGGCAAATTTCCTGCTGCTTCAGTTAAACACAGCCTTATTTGACAGGGGCGCTGTTTCACAGATTGCACATTGGGCACATTAAGAGGTTTCCACATTTTTTAAAAGAAAACCTATTATTTAAAAGAGAACTTACGGTGCTGCAAGAACTGATGTCTGTCAAGCTTGTACTGCTTTTTATCCACTACTGTAAGCTCCCAGTGATAACATTTTTCAACTCATGGGTTTCCTTGACAGCTGGCACTTGCCCCTGGCCACAGAACAGTTTTACTATGTGACACCAGCACATGGCTGCATTTCTCCAGTCTGATCCTCCTAGTTAGCACTTTTGCTTACACTATAAAAAGAACTGTCTCCACAGTCCAAACTGGTCAGTGATCTAATAGGTTATTTATAATTATGGCATCTTCACTGTCTCCTGCAGGGTACTTATAATGAAAGGCTCTTGACTTGCTATCATTGCACTGCAGATATTGCGCTCCTGCTCTCTGCTGGAGTTGGATGTTCTCAGACACAGCAGATGCATGGGTGTCGTGGTGTTTGTCCCATTTGTCACTCTTTCACCTGGTGCCCTGGGTTCAAGCACTGCAAATCTGCAGCAGGGATGTTACTTAGCTGCTCGTGATCCACTTCCCCACCTCCATCTCCCATTCTGTTTCCACAGTAGGCTGCTGTAAAGTCTTCCTGATAACAACTACAACTCATTTATATATTACTGAGAAACAGGCTTGCAAAAGGTAGTTTACTTGCACCTGTACTACAGGCAGGATCAGGCTTTAGTTCTGTGCACCACTCACCAGTGGGAACAAACTCCCCAGATCACGAGGGAAAAAGCTACAGCATTTGCTCATGAGATGTGTTACATGAGAAGGGTATTACCGACCCTCGAATGGCCCTTTTCAGAAGTGTACTTCAGCGCTGAACCTAGATGCTATTCAGGTAGCCTCCAATTACTTTTCAACGTGAGCAAAGCAACTAGTCAGAACAAGAACTAAATATTCTTTAAAGATGTATTGTGCTACAAAATTGCAGTACTGTTGCAATGATACCACACTTTCCCTCAAGAGGTACACAAAGAAAATTAATCAATGGCACAGTGCAGAGGGCTGAACATGAATGTAAGGGGACTGATTAGACACAGTACGTTTCTGCACCAATAACCTGAACAATTCTGTAACATTGCTGCAGAGGTTTGGTTTTGGTTAATAAATCCACAAATGGCCATTCAGGATTGCTGGCACCTGCAGCTGACATATTAGTCAATGTTACTCTTGATTTAAATTCAACTCCTGAGCAGAGTTGGTTGGAACTAGATGATCTTAAGGTCCTTTCCAACCCTAACTATTCTATGATTCTATGATTATACAGCTCTGTTGAGCAGTGGTTTTCTGCAGCTATCTTTAATTAAACACTGAAGTTGTACTCATGTCAAGTTCATGATGAACAAAACATTTAGTATCTACAGTTGATGTAAGCAAAGGGTATACATGCACATGCCCCTCTACTCTTGTGAGACCTCACCTGGAGTATTGTGTGCAGTTCTGGTGCCTTCACCATAAAAAGGACATGGAACTGCTGGAACAAGTCCAGAGAAGGGCCATGAGGATGATCAGGGGGCTGAAGCACCTCCCAGATGAAGACAGGCTGAGAAAGTTGGGGCTGTTCAGCCTGGAGAAGAGAAGGCTGTGTGGAGACCTCAGAGCAGCCTTCCAGCATCTGAAGGGGGGCTATAGGGATGCTGGGGAGGGACTCTTCATTAGGGACTGTAGTGACAGGACAAGGGGTAATGGGTTCAAACTTAAACAGGCGAAGATTAGATTGGATATAAGGAAGAAGTTCTTTCCTGTTAGGGTGGTGAGGCACTGGAAAGGGTTGCCCAGGGAGGTTGTGAATGCTACATCCCTGGCAGTATTCAAGGCTAGGTTGGACGAAGCCTTGGGTGAGATGGTTTAGTGTGAGGTGTCCCTGCCCATGGCAGGGGGGTTGGAATTTGATGATCTTAAGGTCCTTTCCAACCCTAACTATTCTATGATTCTATGATTTATCCTAAATTGGTTGTTTTGTTTACATTTTACCTTCCAATATGGATTTAAATTTTGTGGATTTTTTTTCAGAAGTAGAAATCTCGAGAATATTTGGAAATTCAAATAGGAGGGTGCTTTTCTGTATATGTAGCTCTGTGTGGAAAGCAACTTCCTTTTGCAAGTAATAGAGGAGCTGACAAGGAGAGGTGCCATGCTTGACCTTGTGCTCACCAACAGGGAAGGGCTCGTTGGAAATGTGACGCTCCAGGGCAGCCTTGGATGCAGCGATCATGAGATGCTCGAATTTGAGATCCTCAGGACAGTGAGAAGAGCGTGCAGCAAGCTCACTGCCCTGGACTTCAAAAGAGCAGACTTTGGCCTCTTCAGGAACCTGCTTAGTAAGGTTCCATGGTGTATAGCCCTAGAGGGCAGGGGGGCCCCAAGCCTGTTGGCTGATATTCAAGGATCACCTACTACAAGCTCAGGAGTGTTGCATCCCAACTAGAAGGAAGTGCAGCAGGAGGGCCAGGAGACCTCCTTGGATGGGTAAGGAGCTGCTGAGGAAAATTCAGATGAAAAAAGAGGCTTATGAAAAGTGGAAGCAAGGACAGGCAGCCTGGGAAGAGTACAGGGATGTTGTCCGGCAAGCTAGGGACCAGGTCAGGAAAGCTAAGGCCCAGTAAGAATTAAACTTGGCTAGGGATGTTAAAGGTAACAGGAAGGGATTCTTTAGGTACATTACAAATAAAAGACAGACTAGGGACAATGTGGGCCCTCTCCGGAAGCTATCGGGAGAACTAGCTACCTTGGATTTGGAGAAGGCTGAGGTTCTTAATGACTTCTTTACTTCAGTCTTCACTGGCAAAGGCTCTGACCACACCACCCAAGCCTTGGAAGGCAGACACAGGGACTGTGAGAATGAAAATCTTGGGCTCACTGTAGGAGAGGATCTGGTTCAAGACCATCTTAAGAACCTGAACGTACACAAGTCCATGGGAACTGATGAAATCCATCTGCAGGTCCTGAAGGAGCTGGTGAATGAAGTTGCTAAGCCACTCTCCATCATATTTGAGAAATCATGGCAGTCAGGTGAAGTTCCTGACCACTGGAAAAGGGGAAATATAACCCCCATTTTCAAGAACAGGAAAATGGATGACCTGGGGAATTAGAGACCAGTCAGTCTCACCTCTGTGCCTAGCAAAATCTGGGAGCAGATTCTCCTGAATGGCATGCTAAGGCACATGAAAAACAACAAGGTGCTTGGTGACAGCCAGCATGGCTTCACTAAGGGGAAATCCTGCCTGACCAATTTGGTGGCCTTCTATGATGGGGCTACAGAACTGATGGACAGGGGTACAGCGGTTCATGTCATTTACCTGGACTTCTGTAAAGTGTTTGACACTGTCCCACACCACATCCTTGTCTCTAAATTGGAGAGACATCAATTTGATGGATGGACCACTTGGTGGATAAAGAACTGGCTGGAAGGCCGCACACAAAGAGTTGTGGTTATTGGCTCAATGTCCAGCTGGAGACCAGTAACGAGTGGTGTCCCTCAGGGATCGGTGTTGGGACTGGTCTTGTTCAACATCTTTGTTGCTGACATGGACAGTGGGATTGAGTGTGCCCTCAGCAAGTTTGCCGATGACACCAAGCTGTGTGGTTCGGTTGATACACTGGAGGGAAGGAATGTCATCCAGAGGGACAGCAACATGCTTGTGACGTGGGCTGATGCCAACCTCATGAAGTTTAACCATGACAAGTGCAAGGTCCTACACCCGGGTCGGAGCAATCCCAGGCACAGCTACAGGTCGGGCAGAGAAGAGATTCAGAGCAGCCCTGCAGAGAAGGACTTGGGGGTGTTGGTAGATGAGAAACTGAACATGAGCCTGCTTCAGTGTGCGCTTGCAGCCCAGAAAGCCAACTGTATCCTGGGCTGCATCAAAAGGAGCGTGACCAACAGGTCAAAGGAGGTGATCCTGCCCCTCTACTCTGCTCTTGTGAGACCTCACCTGGAGTATTGTGTGCAGTTCTGGTGTCTTCAACATAAGAAGGACATGGAACTATTGGAACAAGTCCAGAGAAGGGCCACAAGGATGATCGGGGGACTGTAGCACCTCCCGTATGAAAACAGGCTGAGAAAGTTGGGGCTGTTCAGCCTGGAGAAGAGAAGGCTGCATGGAGACCTCATAGCAGCCTTCCAGTGTCTGAAGGGGGCCTATAGGGATGCTGGGGAGGGACTCTTCATTAGAGACTGTAGTGATAGGACAAGGGGTAATGGGTTAAAACTTAAACAGGGGAAGTTTAGATTGGATATAAGAAGGAAATTCTTTCCTGTTAGGGTGGTGAGGCACTGGAATGGATTGCTCAGGGAAGTTGTGAATGCTTCACCCCTGGCGGTGTTCAAGGCTAGGTTGGACGAAGACTTGGGTGAGATGGTTTAGTGTGAGGTGTCCCTGCCCATGGCAGGGGAGTTGGAACTAGATGATCTTAAGGTCCTTTCCAGGCCTAACTATTCAATGATTCTGTTCTATGACATAAGATTTCCAGGAGCACACTGTGGTTCCAAATAGCAGATAAGCTTATTCAGGATATGCTGGACACTTCATTTACTCTTTTCAGACTTACACTTCTGCTAAAATTCTAGTAAACAGGGATTTTTTCATTAGTATAGCCTACGATCTATTCTATGATCCTATGTTTCTAATTGACAGGTGAAGGAGGCATATAAAATATTATAAAATCCTTCCAAATATTTTAGAAAAATAATTTTCCAAATTTTTAAAAGCCTGAAAGAATAGGTCAGTGGACTGTTGTTTCAGAATGATTGTTGTGCTGTCTATTCTGCTATGGACTAGCACTTTCCTTGGAGAAGAGAACTTGGATGAAGGAATATAACTGGGTGAAACTAATACTGGAAAACTCATTTTTAACAGGCCAGAACTTTATTTTCTTCACTAATAGCTCCTTAATAGCAAGGATCAGCTACTTGAAATTTCATAACAGTAAAGGCCAGATTAAATATAACATCTTTTTTAATACTAAATTTATTCCTGTTCATACCATCCTTTTGCAGAATAAATTAAAAACCCTCACAGATCTTACCAAAGTAGTACTGTGAATTTATGAGTCAGTCTTGCTCTGTTATGGATATTTCATCCTTTAACTCTTAGAAGAAACACTATACCTACTAACTACTATCCGTTCAATTCTATTCAGATCATTGTATAAGAGCAAAAGGGGCTTTCAGCTGCTATTTCCCCTTGAATATTTGATTATTCCAGGTTCTTTCTTGCATAGAAAAACTCCACATCATAGTAACAAGAAACAGAGTAGACAAGCACTTCGACACCAATTTCTCAGCAGTGAGTATGTGCAAGAGGTGGTGACTAGAAAGAACTGTATTTCCAGTTCATTGCACAGGTAATACAGGTATTCCTCAAGTAAAGAAAGAGTTGTGTTTAAAGCTTTCAATGATTTTAGTCTCATTGGTCTTACCTTTCTTTTGATGTCAATGAATTGAGAAAACATTAAGGACCAGTAAAATGACAATTCAACTATGTAGTAATAATGAAGGTCAGGCATCAGTGGCTGAAAGATGGAGATGAGAAAAGGTTAATAGAATCTAACTCACATTACAGGCAGCTAAGGTCAATGTGGGACATGTTTAATCACAGGGGGATTACTGAATTATACATAAGCATCCTATGTAAGAAAAATTATGATGGTTGCCTCTTTCAAACTTTGATGCTCTGGAAAAATAAAGCTCCCCAACCTACCCTCCTTTCATATTTTAATCTTGACAGTATTATAATACTCTAATACCAAAACTTACGACGTTGTCTGTTAGGAACTTAGAACAAACTAAATTCTGAGTACTCCTAAGTCTGTTTTGAAAGATCACTTGAAACATCTTGCTGTACATCAGTAATGTGGGTTTAAAGCTCAGCAAAAGAAATAATGCTAGAGGAGATTAAAGTAATGCTATGAGCATATAATCGCATCTGCTTATGATGAAAATGTCGAGCTTTAAACAGGGCTCTAATACAAAATCCTGCTTTTAAATAATGTAAACTTTTTTGTGTGAACATGTTAAGATTTGGAAAGATGAAAATAAAATAAAATTATCCAGGCATCCTGTTTGATACACAACACGGTTACATGGATGTTTAAAAGTAAAATAAAAACAACAAGACACAGGAACTTGTGCACAAACAAAACCAACCTGAGGTAACTTTGAAGAAGGTAACTGGTGGCACACGTAAACTGCTTAGCCCCCAGCCTAAGAGAGACAGTCCTAGGACCTTCTCTAATTTCTGTGTGATTGTGCCTCCCTGCTAGTCATGCCTTCCATCACAGTGTGAGAGGGGCACTGGCACAAGAGAAGCTCCTGAGGGCATCTCCTTAAGGGATTAAATGAACCATCTCCAAAACAGTTTGCACTGGTACAACCATGCACCCAATCAGGGCACGAGCTATTTCTAATGGCAAGAAGCAGTTCAGTTTCCTCTCTTGTTCCCATTCTCCTTTGCAGACCAGTTCTTTTCAGCTGAAAAACAGCCTTTAGGTTCCTACTGAATGCTTTATGTGGGTTATTTAATTAGAGGCATATGCTTACACTTTATAAAAAATGTGTACACTTAAAATCAATCTTTTAAAGCCATTTCTTGAGCCAATATAATAATTTTTCTGATTTAGTGAGGCTGACAATAAGGTTTTAACTATGTGTAGTTAAAAAAAGGGAAGAGAGCTAGCAATGAACAACTATTATAGCAAGAGAACTCACTGCGGAACATTTCTAGTAAAACAATGAAGATTGTCAGCTTCTTTATTAACAGTATCATTAGTATTTCTAAACCCATACATAACAATAATGTAGGGGGATTCTAAAGATATAATGGTTTCCCTCCATGAAAAGGTCAAGGGTGAAAGTATTAAGTTTCACCCTGTATGCAGTATAACAGCTACAAGAACTATACTGGTTTTTCCCCACCCACTGAACCTAAGGCTTTACTAAAACTTCCAGTATTCTCAGAACTTTTTTTAAAAAATGACCATTCTACCACTGTTACAGATTTCTGCTTTCATGGTTAGATTTCTCAGACCTGTTTTCAGATCCCATGTTTTATTTCAAAACAGGTGTGACAGCTAGATTCGCCTTTGCTGTCTTGAACTCAAGCAAGATGAAGAGTATCTAGCAATGTTCTGAAATTACAAGTAACACACTGACACTAACATATTGACACAAAGCCCCCTCATCATAAAAGCAGAGCTCTGCAGAGATGCCGTATTTGGTTTTAGATAGCACTGCAACTTTTACCTGATATGGGTACCCGTTCCAGCACTGTCTGGTATTCCAGAGCCAGGGTGTCTGAGAAAGAGAAGAAAGAAAAAACGGGTCAGTGCACACCATTTTGGTCAATGTAAGTGTATACAGTTAACACAAGTGAAGGACAAAACTAGAGAAACAGTTTAAAATCTGCATTTTTTGATAGAGGCTATGAAAACTGAATACAACAAGGAGATAGCTCAAAGTTTCACAGCACGAAATAGAGCAACCTCCCTGTTCACAGAGATTTTTAGTTTGTGGCCCATGACCTTACTTTTGCAGGAGTGCAAGCTGAACCTAATCAGCTTGTGCTCAGGTAGTCAGACCTCACATTTCCTTCCTAATAGCACAGGAAATTTTTGCCTTAGGCTGCTCAGACATTCTAAAGAATGTTCCTTGCATGTGCTGTTACATATAAGCATTCTACCGTATAGGATCCATCCTTCATCCCAGCCACATGAGTTTAAAATAGCAAATCATGCCTTTTGCTTTCCTGGCTGAAGACATGACCATCCAGAGATGATAGATCTTGCTATCACACAGAAAAGACTCTGATATCTTAGGGCAACGTGGAAAGTTCCGGAGAGAAATTTACTTTAGTGCATCTACAGATTCTTGCACTGCAGAAAGCTGGGCAAACTAAAAGACTTGGGAACACGCAGCTCTGTTATGCGTCCTGTTTCTTTGCTGCTTGCACAAGATTTATTTGATTATTTATCCGTCAATGCTGCAAAAGAGCCTTTTAAATCTTTCTTTGTAAGCAGGCTGTTTCTTTCAGAGTTCTTTATTTTTTACCTCTTCCTCTGTGCAACTAAAAGGACTCGAGACAGAAATTACCATATGGGCAAGCTCTTCTACCCAACATACCCAACCATTAAGTATTTCCATATTGGGTAATAGGAACATGATCAAACCACCAGCTACCAAGGAGCCACACTTCCCTTTTTGTGCATGAGCAGAAACAACTCCTTTCAGATATGCACGTCTTGCAATGCACAGCTGCATCTCGGGTTCTGACAGCATCTGTACTCTTTGAGAAGCATGTGTCTACAGCACAAGTACCCACCCACAGGGTATCTTGTTAGAAATATGAAAGAAAAGTGTGGATTAAAGATCTTTGTGCAACTTTTTTACATAATATTAACTGCTCTACATCCAGTATAAAGAGGACAGAAAATCATTAGTATGCCTCCTGGATAAAGGCACACATACCCTTACAGCATTATACACTTCCATTAGATTACATTTTTTCAGGTAAATCCTCACCGCATGAGATACGGCCTTTTCTTGTTTTCACCATCAGGTGGAGCAGTTCAGCTCAGGCAAAACATAATGACAAACTCATGCAAAATACAATGGGTGAGCAAACCAAATAAAATAAACACTAGGCAAAACGTTAAGCCCCAGGCTGAGAATCAGGCTAGGTAGGGAGAATTTGTACCATATCAAAAGCCAGGATAAATCTAATCAAAACTATAGCCCAATTCCCAACTGATACTTTAATACTATTTGCGATGTGTCTTACAGAAGCTTGTTACAGCCTTTGTTGGTTAACAGTGATGCGATATGATCACTAAAGGCTCTTCCTATTTCTTTTTTCAATTTTCCTTCACATGGAAAATATGATAAAAAAGAACTTGCACACCCAATGCTCCTGAAATAATTCTTAGAATAACCTGAGTAGCATACCAGCATTAAAGTGACAGACCTCCTACGCCTCTCACAGGGATGTTGTAACAATGGTTAAAGTCCATCCAAACTTCTCCTCCTCTCTATTAGGAATAATTATTTCATGCAGACAATTTTTTTTTCCAAGTATCTCCACAGCAGTTACCATGCTAAGTGAGTTCCCCTCATTTCATGCGACAAAAAGGGTCTTTGGAAAGAGCGACAGCTCCTCTGCAAGTGTTACTAATATACAGAAGCTAAAATATTTCTGTCTGACAGCTGCCTACATTAGATCTATCCAAATATTATAGGATAATTCATAGTTTTAGCCAGGTTTGAAAAGCTGTAACTGTCTTTCATATCAGATTCAAAAAGAGGTAAGAGATGCTTCCTACCCAATTATTTTGGTACCTAAATTACAGGTGCTAGCAAAAAATGCATATTTTTCTCTTTCAAATATTATGACATCTTAAGGCTTCTTCAGAGAGATGCCTACTGCAGGAGCTGCAGATACAGAGGTTTATGTGTAATTAAAATGCTGAATGCTAAATAAAATAGGCCTCACTGGAGGAACCCATAACCACAAAGCCTGGAAGGATACCACAAACTGACAAACAATACAATACATGCAATTAGGCCTCAAAGACAGAGAGAACATCTGCCTCTTCTGAGCCGCATAAGGCTTGGAAAGCCATGCTGCCTTCTCACACAAAATGCTTCTGGGTAGCTGTTTGGAAATTTAATGGATCCTATGTGGGCAGCAGTGGTTAAGACAGCAGGACATCTATACCACCTTCTTACACCTCTCTCCTCCCCAGTTTCCCTCTCCTTGACTTGCTTTAGCATCTCTTGAGTAGACTAACAGCTGTAGCAGAAGGGGACTTTGGTTATGTTTGCCCTGCAGGGTTTTAAGAAAGAGGCAGAGCTTAGTTTAAATACAGCTTTCCCCTCTGACCTCTACAATGAACACAGTCCGAGACCGAAACTAAGTTCTCCAGGTAGACCACGGCTGTAGTTGGACCAAGAAGCATCGCTTAGTCCTCTGTGAACCTCGCAACTGTGGGATGTTCTGTGCAGGTTTCAGCAGGAAGGAGAGAATTCTAAAAAAGCCCACAGTCTGCAGAGTGAAACTGAAACACACCGAAGAGAGGTGGATTAATCAGAAAGCACATAATACTGACATTCTCAGGGCTCAGCTGAGCCTGTGTGTGCTCACAGGGCACACTGATGAACTTCCTTACATCAGGCATGCTCACTGTGAAGCAGAGCCCAGCTCTTCCTGACAAGTCCTATGATGGACAGAAAGGTCAGTGACTTGGCTTTGCAACAGATCCATTTCTGATGAACATAAAGTGTGCTGTTTCCACTGCCTGTTGAATACCCAAATTTCCACTCCTTGTTCTTGGTACATAATCTCTTGAGGAAGGGAGGAATCTGAGAGGACTGGAGAAGGGAGGAAATGCAAAAGTCCTGATAACAAAAGGCACCCTTAAGCTGGAAACAGAATACTAAAAACTTCAGTTCCAATTACGTCAGGCACAAAACACCAGCCCTACAATGCTAACACCCTCCCTTACAGAACATAAAGTACTTAAGATGGAAACTTAAGCTTTACCACACTTTGGTGCAGTGCCTAATATGTGCAGTATCAATGACAGAGGAGGATGATAAACAGCTGTTGAATCTGCTGTCATTTACATTTATTAAGGAACAAATCCCTATTATTTTTGGTTCCTTACAGGAATATCTGTCAAAAGTTCCATCAAACCTCCCTCCAACTCTGTGATTAAAGGAAGTAATTTTAAAGAACTCCTTCAGAAATAAAACTTCTCTTGAGACAAGGGAATGACTGAGGATTTGGAAAAACAAAAAAGCAAATTATCTGAGATGTCTGCACACTTAGCCAGAAGCCTCGGGTTGTTTTGCATCCGCTGTCCCATTCATTTATCTTTAGAGAAAGCTTCTGATTGGGCTCTGGCTTTCAGAAGCCCCAAAGCAATGAAAATCTGCTTGTCTTACTCAAAGTGCTGCTAATACCAAGCATGTGAAAGGTCAGTTTTGATACTAAATGGGGTGTGTGTGTGTGTGTGTGTGTGTGTGTGTGTGTGTAAAAAACGTAGTACAATAAAAACCTCCCACTTCTGTTCAGTTCCCTTACAGCCCATTTGGCTGAAAGGTGTTTTTATGTGTCCTTTATCCCTTTATCCGTGAGGAAATAGATGCACCTGGTGAAGTATTATTATTTAAAAATAAGAAATGTTTGGTTCATCATACCGCAATAAAAATAACAATGAATATTCCTCCTCATCCTTATCTACCCAGCAGAACCCACTAAGTATAGGAAACACACAAAGGCCACAGTATAGATTCTCAGAGACGAACAAGAGCTGTACATGTCATGAGCAAGTACTTTCCCATACTGTCAGCAAGCCAACCATCAGATGTGTGTATCAGGCATATCATGGATTTAAAGTGAATTCCGCACCCATTTCATAGAATCAGCTTATGTCTGCAAATATAAATATATTACATATAGGTAACATAAATTTGCAAAGTAACTGCTTTTGGGCAGCTGGAGTGAGTTCCACAGTCTGCGTCACTTCTCGTTGCTGTATCAATAACTGAATCATTTTTCCTTGCATCCAGCACAACTAGAAATCCCAATATGCAGGTTACAACCACAAGCACTGGTGTTACTTTGCCCTTAGAAGCGTGAACCTACAGATAAATAAGGGGTGCGAAAAGAAACCTAATAAACACAGTGTTGCTAGCACTAATTTTTTCTTTCTGTAGTCCATAAACTTGAAACAAGTAGCAAATTGAAGGACCACTTCCAAAAATACAACGCTAAGCAAAACCCAGGTCTCCACAGAGGAGCTTCTGCCCTAGCAGTTTGGAGTATTAGAGAGAGCTGCTATGCATCTGATTTACTCCTGACCACACAGGCATGTTGTAACTCCCAAAGGGGTTCTTCTTAAATTCTCACATAAGTAACAAAAATCTTCTGACTTACCCAGCAGATAAAGAAATACAATCTGCCTGCTATTTTTATCAAAATACAGCATGCAGAAATCCAGGGACATCACGACAGAACCCCCACATTGCACAAAAGTATATTTATGCTTAAGTCCACATTTCAAGCCAAAATGAGACAGCATCAGTCCAAAACCAGGTTTTAAGTTGTTTTTGAAAATAGGTTTTTGACCCTGTGAAACAAAACCAGCACAATACAGAAATCCTGAGCGTTCACTGTGTATGTGCCCGCTACTCTGCAATCTCAAAAGGCAGATGTTATCTCGCTTGGTTAATACATCTGAATACAGCTTTACATAATTTGTCCCTCATAGCTACAGCAATAATAAGTGGAACTGAAA